AAGTAGCAGAGGTAAGTCAGGCTTTTTTGAAATTTGTCAGCAAATAAACATAATTCAGGTAACAGCAGCCTTATTTTTCATGTAATATATACAATACGAGCGGGCGATCTGTATGAGGATTTAAAACAGCGAGCTGAAACCGAGCTGTTTTAAATCTCATACAGATCGCACGCGAATATTGTATATTACTTATGAAACTAATCAAAAAGACAAAAGCAACTAGATTCATTTTTGCGACGTTTCGACATCCTCTGTGTCATGTATTTACTGGAATGACTAACACAAACAAGATGGCGTTGACTAGGTTTTATTCGCACGTGTTACACTTTACATGCGTGCGCATGTTACACAGGTAATCCGTAACATTCCTCCCCACTATTGTCTTTCAGTCTACATTGACATAACATGTTGAATAAAAAATAACAATATAACAACAAGGTTTTCTGTCCTGTTACAATAACATAGCTATAAGTTCATAAGTCAAGTTTTTGTGGTGCTTTGCGCTCCCTCTGTGGATAACGTCGTTCAACGGGTGTTGCTGCTTGCGCAGGTGTTGGTGTCCTAGCAGGACTGTTGATGATAACGGATTGCTCCGCTCTCATTTCCTGTGAGTTTGCTTCAGTCGGCAGGTTTTCCATTGGAGCTGGGACTCCAGGGTCTGGAACTGCTTTCGCTGTGTCGAAATGCTCGCTGATGTCACTGTCTTGTGGAACTCTCTGTTGAACCATTGTTGGAAGGAGTTGGTCAATGTGTCGGCGCCAAATCAGATTTGGAGAGACTTGGACTTTGTACATAAGAGGGCCTGTCTTCTCAATAACTTGGCCTTGACGCCACTTGTAATCTCCTCTGTAATCACGAGCCATGACAGTATCTCCAAGTGCAATTTGTCTAGCTGGAGTTGCATTATGAAGGGCTGACTGCATGCTTTGCTCATGTTGCTTGTTCAACATTTTCCGGTTCCTGTTAGGTTTGACTAGGTCCAAACGAGTACGTAACGGTCTTCCGAGCATCATTTGCGCTGGACTCTCTCCTGTAGTTAAATGGGGAGTGTTCCTATAATTGATGAGAAACTTTGCTAACTTCTCCTTCAGCGGTGAAGAGCTTCCTTCCATAGATTTCAAAGCTTGTTTGAAAGTTTGAACTGACCTCTCAGCCAATCCATTCGTAGCAGGATGGTATGGAGCCGAAGTGATGTGTCTTATTYCATTGGACTTCATGAAGGTCTGGAATTCGTCTGACACAAACTGCGGACMGTTGTCACTTACAAGTTGTTSTRGAATTCCAAAACGAGCAAACAGGTTTCTCAGGACTTCGATGGTCTTTGATGATGTAGTTGACTTCATTGGAATAACTTCTGGCCATTTGCTGTGTGCATCCACAACTACGAAGAACATAGAATCTTTGAATGGGCCAGCAAAATCAATGTGTATGCGTTGCCATGGGAARGTYGCCCATTCCCACGGGTGTAGCGGTACTTTGCTTGGCATCTTTTGATTCTGTTGACAACCAKAGCAAGACTTAGCTACCATTTCCAGCTGTTGATTGATGTTTGGCCACCACACATAGCTTYTCGCTAAAGCTTTCATTTTGACAATTCSTAAGTGACTGTCATGTAACTCCTCTAACATCCTCTCCTGTAGCTTATGAGGGATAAMKACTCTCGTCCCCCAGAGAATACAGCCTTGGTGGACTGTAAGTTCACTTCTGCGTTGAAAGTAGGGTGTATCTCCTTCTGAGCGTTGGGACCAACCATTCATAATAGACTCGTAGACTCTGGACAGTATCGGATCACGCTTGGTTTCTTTAGCAACCGTTTCGCTGGTGACAGGAAGTGGGCTAAACTGTGTAGCGTGGAATACATCTGAAGAGTCGAAACTTGNGATGTTATACCGAACACTAGGCGGTTATACTGGTAGAGACCCTTGGGAGTATTTATGGTCAAATACTTCTTTGATTCCTCAGTAACTTCCATCTGATGGTAAGCTTGTCTCAAATCAATTTTACTGAAGTGTTTGCCTCCAGCAAGATTTGCAAAGATATCCTCGATTCTCGGCAGAGGATACTGTTCAGCTATCAACACAGGATTGATAGAGACCTTAAAATCTCCGCAGATGCGTACTGATCCATTACGTTTAGGTACGGCTACTATAGGTGTTGCCCACTCACTGTGTTCAACTGGACTGAGAATACCTTCTTTCTCCAGGCGGATTAACTCAGCTTCTACCTTTGGTCGATCCGAGTAAGCAACCGTGCGTGCTTTGTGAAAACACGGTTGGGAATTCTCCTTTATCTTGAGATTTGCTTTGTGACCTTTAAGGGTACCTAGATCATCATCAAAAACAGATTTATACTGTTCCAGTAGCTTATTTACCCGACCCTGGGTGGGCTCGACTGTTGCTTGGCTTAACTTAAGGGCTTTGATTTCACCCCAGTCCAACTTTAAAACAGAAAGCCAATCACGGCCAAAGAGGGCTGGTCCTGGTGTCTCCACAATTTGAATATCTAAATGCTTTGTCTGGCCCTTAAGGTTAACCTTGCAGTTAATCTTTCCCTTGGGTACTATTTTCTCCCCTGTATAGGTTTTCAGGGTAATCTCACTCTCTTGTAATTTAGCATGGCTAATCTGTTCCTTATACTTCTTATAAGGGATAGTTGAAACAGCAGAACCTGTGTCGAGTTCCATTTTTAGCGGTTTTCCGTCAATGTTAGGGGTGACCCAAATGACGTTATCTTTGTTACCCACTTTATGGATTTCTAGGCTACTTAAAAAATCATCGCTGTCATCACTATCTATAGCATTGACTTGGGGTTGGGAACCCTGTGTTTCTTTCTGAAACTTCTTACATGCACGCTTAATATGACCTTTCTTCTTACAGTAATGACACTCTTCTTTTTTAAATGGGCAAGTTTTGTGATCATGGTTACCATGGCAACGATAACAATTTTGTGACTTGTTTTCCCTTTTATCCGTTTTGGGCTTATGTGCATGTTTTCTGCTACCTTTTGCCGCTTTGTCAACTTTATGTACAGGATTTGGGTTCGGGTTTGGCTCTTTCCCCCCCTGCATGGTTTCGACATCATGATATGATCTCTCTATTGCAAGGCACTTTGCAACGGCTATATCAAATGTCAGTTCCTCTAGTTTTGTCTTTAATAAGTCTGCCATCATTTTTCTATCACGTACTCCTGAGACTAATCTATCTCTTAAACGTTCCAAACGCATCGTCTCGTTGAATTTACATTCAGTGGCCAGGTGTTTTAAAACGGCAATGTATTCACTCACCGTTTCTCCTGGCTTTCTTGATCGGTTATCAAACTCATACCTTGCTACTAACGGTGACTTTTGAGGTTTTAGTTGCTGTTGAAGCTTTTCCACGATATTCTGGTACGTGACAGTGTCCTCTTTCAACTCACTCGGTGCCACCAGGTCCTTCACAAGTTGGTATGTCTCCGCTGGGAGGTTAGTCAGAAGTACAGCTTTCTTTTKCTTTGCGTCCGAGACGCCATTCGCCACGAAGAAAAAGTCAAGTTGCTCGGCGTACGCTTCAAAGTCGTTTCCAAACACAAACTTTTGTACTCTACCGATGTTTGAGACTCTTGGCACTTCGTTCTCGTCTGGCATGTCTAATAAGGATTAGGATGTGTTTTTTTTCTTCGAAAAAAAATCCTAGTTATCCCGTCCTCGTCGCCAAAATTGTCATGTATTTACTAGAATGACTAACACAAACAAGATGGCGTTGACTCGGTTTTTATTCGCACGTGTTACACTTTACATGCGTGCGCATGTTACACAGGTAATCCGTAACAATGTTAACGTTATTTTTTTAAATNGTTCTCGTCTGGCATGTCTAATAAGGATTAGGATGTGTTTTTTTCTTTTTGAAAAATCCTAGTTATCCCGTCCTCGTCGCCAAAATTGTCATGTATTTACTAGAATGACTAACACAAACAAAATGGCGTTGACTCGGTTTTATTCGCACGTGTTACACTTTACATGCGTGCGCATGTTACACAGGTAATCCGTAACAATGTTAACGTTATTTTTTTAAATGTATCATATTCATTGTAAGATTAAAATATGCACTGGAATTGGCATCTTATCTAAATTAATCCATTATTTCTCGTTATGATTCTTCAAGATATCATTAAATTATCACTAACTTTTGATGCTATCAATGGGCATTTCTCTTTGGAATGCAATACTTTATGGAATTTGTTATGTCGTTATGTATATGCTATTGCTTGAAGTCAAACCCACATACCTAGCTCTTGTAATTGTAAATTGGAGAAAAATTGAGACTGTTGAAATCTACTATTAATTTACACTTGTCTATAAATTCATCGCGCTACATGAGCTGCGATTTTTGTGTGGCAATAGCTTATTTTATAGCGTGTAAATAGCTTATTTTGATGGTCAGCGGTTTTAAAATGAATGTAGCCACCGCTGCTTCTATCGGAAATCAATTCAATTTATGTCTAAAATTGATTTTCAAAGTGGTATTGAAATCGTTTTCAATTTACTAGAAGATATACTAAGCTATCAATGATGTTTTCAATTTGTTTGTGCCGAAACTATAAGATTGAAGCCACACACTGAGGCGCTATTTTCACTTGTATGTTGGATGACTGTCACATCATATACCTTCGACGGGCTTCACTGAAGCTCAGAGKTTAAAAAACTGAATGAACGATATCTTGAGAATTCATGACGAGAAAATAATGGATTAATTCAGGTAAGATACCACTTCCAGTGCACATTTTAATCTTTTGATTTTAAATTACAATATGCAAGACATTTAAAAAAAATAACGTTAACATGTTCATCTCTTGTAGCTTTGATATCTCAATGACAACTTAAAAAGTGGCAATATCCATGAAATGTAAATTATAAATGATTCCAAAACGGCTTTTACGAGTTCATAAGTAGTTTTTAGTTATCAATTTTTTGATATCTTTGTTGAGTATATTTATTGAAATTGTTACAAGGTCGGTTAGTTTGGAAGTCTGTCATTTAGCAAATATTTAAGTGCCCAAAATTTTGAAAGTAGGTTTTGGTAGACCTAGGATAGAATAGTACTGAACGTAATTTTGGTTTCAAACAGAGCGTTACCACCAGAGATACAAGACACCAAATTTACCCAAAATTGAGCATTTAATAAATTATATTGAAAACCTCAGTGTGTTGTAAATTTCATTATGGAATAACCATGGCAACCAGACCAAAGAAAAGTATCTCCAACAAAAGTCCAAGGATGATTCTTTGCTGTAATATAGCAAAAGAATTGTGTTGCAAAATTGT